AACTCCAGCTCAGTGGCGTTGGATCCGCGCATATGATGGCGTGAACCTAAGTGTCTCGCGCATGTGCGCACCGTGCCATAGCTACTGGGGCATCTCTCTTGGAGACCTTTGTTTGATTTATGTGGTCCCAAACAGGGTATGATGTTTTTCTGTTTGCATGTTTTGGCGAAAATGCCATCGCTCCATAATGTCGTTCATGCTATTGCCCCCAAGTCGAATGGCCTCCAGAGCTCCTGAAACCGAAGAGTCTTCTAAAAGCCGACGGCGAAATAGATCATCAGCAAAACCTACCATGGAACAATCCAGAGCAGGGGTCCCGAAAGCGCTGTAGATGTAGATGGGGTCCCGTTGGCCTCGTGGAGCTCAGTGTAGCATGCGTCGAAGACGCCCACGAACTGCCCCGGTGCCTCACATGAGCCTTGGGGCCCCCCATTCTTACAGATAAATGCCTCGAACATGTTGTCAACTGGTAGTTTTTTACGACACTGCTGAGCAAGCGCTGATGTGAATAATCCTTCAGATCCTCGCGTACCATACCCCCGGACTGAATGAGGAGGTCATCAGCAAGTGGGCACATGGAAGCGTTTGTCATGTCGTGAAATTCACATATGTTCGGGGCCTTGGAGTTCCTCAGGGACCACCCTACACGTAGCTGTACGAGAACTGCTCCTTCCCTCCTCCGATATCGCAGAAAACCGTGCCAGTGGCCAGGAAAATGCCGATCAAATTGTTCATATTTATCCCCGTAGCTGCACAAGACTGCATACCAAGATGTGCAGAAAGCGTCTGATAATTGTACGATGCGTTGACTCGACATCTGGGCCTTGCCGTTCGATTTGTCCAGTAGAACCCCTTCTGTAATACTTGACATAGTTGGAAGTTGACTGATTTGAAAAGATCTGATCGCGATGTTTTCAAACTCCTTCGGGGCACATGTACGCTTCGAGGTGGGCTTCAAGCGGCTGTCTCTTCCATCTCCTTCGCGCGTCTTGTCTTCGGCCAACATGCGTGGTACAGAAAATGGAATCGATGGGGGTGGGTCCAGACATGCAACCGACGGCGGTCCGTCTTCGAGCTCCACGTTGAAGTCAGGAGCCTCATCAGTCAGGTCGTCGAAGGGGTCTCTGTCAGCAGCGCCCCATTGATGTAGTGCAGGTGTAGGTAGTTGTGGCTCTCCAGGCCCAGAGACATTATTTGGTGGGGGCTCGAGGTTGGCGGGGCGTGGGCCCTGGCCTGGTGTCCAGAATCTTTTGCCCCGGGCCTTGGGTTCAGAATTCCAGCAAAAGGGCGTGGCGACTGTCGGAGGCGAAGCCTCATCCAGATGAAAGCCCAAGCCTGGGCGCTCCTCGGGCTCGTCATGGGAGGGAATCGTGCCCGCGCCGTCGTAGCCGATGCCAAACTTCATGTTCTTTTGACGAGAAAGATGGCTTGGCTTCAAAACTGTGAGTGCGAGTTCGGCAGGAACGCTCCAGGAGGGTCCACGTCGTCGTCCACGTGCTTTCCGAAGTTCCCAGGTCATGTTATTCATCATAATCTCAGTAGTCCTCCCCATGCTGTGAGATCCCATACTGATGGTCGCCTCTTCAGTAAGACAGTAAGAAATCATGTGATCCACGTTTGGAATACACGTCGCCCCCATGTCTCCGCCCGCGCCTTTCTTAGATAAGTGTGTGGTCAGCTCAGACAGGGTAGGTCGATATGGGGCGATTGTATTGTGGCGCCCATTCTTCGCACCAGTTGATCGCCCAGATAAGAGGCGAGCCAGCTTGTGCACTTCAGCCTGTTGGCCAGCAGCCCGAGCTTGACGAAGTTCCTGGCGTGGCCTTTCGCGATGCGGTGCGCGACGCCGCCTCGCCCATCTGCGAAGTTGATTAGATATCTGTCGACTATGTTGCAAACAATCTAAATGATTGTCATATAACTATGGTGGTGACAGTAGATCGGGACGAATTCAGCCGCTTCAAATCTATGCGTGCGGCGTCCGCGTACGAGACGGAGTCGTTCGTGTTGGGGCCTCCTCTCGGCTGTGTCCACGGGGCTTGGCTTCAAAACTGTGAGTGCGAGTTCGGCAGGAACGCTCCAGGAGGGTCCACGTCGTCGTCCACGTGCTTTCCGAAGTTCCCAGGTCATGTTATTCATCATAATCTCAGTAGTCCTCCCCATGCTGTGAGATCCCATACTGATGGTCGCCTCTTCAGTAAGACAGTTAGAAATCATGTGATCCACGTTTGGAATACACGTCGCCCCCATGTCTCCGCCCGCGCCTTTCTTAGATAAGTGTGTGGTCAGCTCAGACAGGGTAGGTCGATATGGGGCGATTGTATTGTTGCGCCCATTCTTCGCACCAGTTGATCGCCCAGATAAGAGGCGAGCCAGCTTGTGCACTTCAGCCTGTTGGCCAGCAGCCCGAGCTTGACGAAGTTCCTGGCGTGGCCTTTCGCGACGCGGTGCGCGACGCCGCCTCGCCCATCTGCGAAGTTGATTAGATATCTGTCGACTACGTTGCAAACAATCTAAATGATTGTCATATAACTATGGTGGTGACAGTAGATCGGGACGAATTCAGCCGCTTCAAATCTATGCGTGCGGCGTCCGCGTACGAGACGGAGTCGTTCGTGTTGGGGCCTCCTCTCGGCTGTGTCCACGGGTCGATCAGGCATAGCAAAATGTGTCAAGCCAATCCGTTGCACAACCTTAGCCCATCTGTCATAGTAGTGGTCGGTGTGTTGGTCGTGCTCAGCGCAGCCGGCGAAAAATAGCTTGGGCCAGCATTTCTTTGTCAAGTTCCAAGTGAAACGCTTCTCGATGTGCACCAGTTTGAAGAGCTTCAGCCAGTTTGTTATGGCCCCATTGGGGTCGAGGGTTCTTCGGGAGCGTCACGGGGGTCTCATACTGCATTGTGAGAACGACGGGCACGTGATCTCTCGGGGCACTCCGTGGGATCAAATGAAGGATACGGCCAGCCCTCCAGGCGACGCGGCAATGTTTCACTCCAGGGCCCAACCCCATGGGGGTCGCGAGGATGTCCAGAGTCGATTTATCGCCCTGAGGGCCGTAGTTAGTGGGTCCCGACTGTTCAGAGTAGGCACCAGGGGCCATGAGGTTAAGGTCGGGCAACCTATTCGAAAACAATCTCGCCAGAGGGGCCGTTCTTCTTGAGGTGGTGGGGGCCTATAGATGGTTCTGCTCGGGGTCAATCAGGGTGCCGTCTGCCCATGGCCCAAAACCAGAATTAATGTCCACGCCTATGATCGGGGTGGTACGAGCTCGACACCTCTCGACACGATCTCGAACATGCTTCATAACTGATGTAGCGGCCGCCGCTTGGGCCTTTCTCTTTTTTTCCGTCGGCATAGATAGGCGGGGGATGCGCGCAGATGACAGTTATATCCAAGAGCCCAGTGTTGATACGAAGTTCCCCATATCTTCCAGGTAGACTCGGAGGGCCATAAACGATCGAATACATGATTTCAGCTTTGAATCGGCGACCAAGTGTTATACATACGCCTGCACTTGAGCTTCTGTATGGTGCACGTCGCCATCCGAAATGTACTGCAGTAGACGTCCCTCCCAAATCTTCGGTGTGGTGATATGTCTTCCCCTCCCATTCTCGAATACACGTGCCAAGCATCATCAGGACGTCGCAATCTAACTCCGCGGCAATCTCCATCGTTCGGCCTGCCGTGCACAGATACAGAGGGTTATAAAGAGCGGTGCGTCAGAGACTACACATTGAGATGATCCCATCGGCCCCTCGTACAGCTCGCCGCATGCATTAGTGGCCGAACATGTCTGGAACGCGAGAGGGACGGACGCTGGGTGAGGGCTGAGATTGGGGTCGCCGCTGCTGCCCTATTCCTTGGGAGGGGAGATGGCGGCTAGAGGCAAGAGGGGGAGGAGGAGGAGGAAAGGAAGAGAAGAAGGAGGAGAAGGAAGAGGAGGAGGGAAAGGGACGAGGACGAACAGCAACAGCGGGAACTGTAATGGAAGAAGGCGGAGGACGGTAAAAGAGGGGACAACGATTCTCAAGGAGTCGGATCCAGAAAAATTGCCAGCGCTGGGGCAAGAGCGACACTATCCACGACGGGAACAACGCGCCGATCCTAGGATGAGGCCAGCGCTGCCACGGGAACACCACTTTGAGACATCGAACATGTTCGGGTTGGAAGAAAACGATACGCAGAGAGGGCGGGCCATTCCCCAGCCGCCTTCGGAGGAGAGAGGAGGGTAGGTAGCATTCATATTGGATAGCTGATGAAGAGGAGGACGAGCAGCGAGCATATGGGAAGACGCGTCAAGGTCGGACTCGGGAAAGAGACAGGCCAATGGGAGCAGGATGGTGGCACAATCTATCACAGAACAGGGACGACGCCAACGCCGAGACAATTAGAGCCGTCGAGCGAGGGGGATGCCACATCGCCGACGCCACCCTCGAGGACCGACACGGCCACGATGAGACGGTAAAGCCAAACACGTTGTCACAGAAACTAAGTCATGGATATGAGGCCGAGCCAGCGCACATCATCATCTGTTACCTCGAGCATTCGGGGAACAGGGGGTGGAGGTAGGCAAGGAGGGAGGCTCCACCGAGGACGAGCTGGGAGGACTGTCGGTGTCCTGGCCAGGGTGCCGACGATGCGGCGATTCGGGAACCATCGAGCTGGGCGAGGGAGGGAGCCAGGAGGGAGGCTCACAAGAGGACGGGCAAGGAGGAGCGGGGTCCAGAGGGGGTCTCTTACCCGCGACTCTCCTGCACAACTCGGCCAAACTCCCCCGTCGAGGCGCTCTCGAGTCCTCTTGTGGCCAGGTCGTGGTTCGCTCACCAAAGGGGCAACCTGGGCGGTGACACGGCACGGCTGCACGCTGACCCTTTCACAACGACAGGCGGTGGGGATGTGTCAGTTCGCTCGTGAGCGCTCCCACATTTTTGCGCGGCCGCTCGCGCGCGAGGCCACCCTGAGCGGGCAGCCGCTCCGCGCGCCCCGCGCTGGCCACTAGCTCTAGCGCGCACTTGGCTGCCAGCCGCCCTGCTTCCAGAACCTCCCCGCCCGCCGTTCTGCCAGCGGGGCCACAAGCGGCAAGCGGCGGCAGCGGCAGCAGGGGCGGAGTGCGAGGGTGGGAAGGGGGTGATGGAGAGGAAGCGGGCGAGGGGGGATGGAGGGAGAGGGCGAGAGGCGATTCTGGGGGGTCAGCAAAGAGAGAGATAGAGAGAGAGAGGAGGGAAAGAGAAGTGCTTTAAGCGGAGAGAACAAGCGAAGTAGAAGGGAAAGCGGGTAGGGAAGTGGAAGGCGAAGTCAAAAAGGGTCGGGGAGGTGGGTGGATAGAGAAGACCCCAACATTCGGCGTATTGTGCAACATACCCAACGTCGTGAACCAGAGCTCCTACCTTGATGTAAGGCTTCCCTGGCTGCATCGATTCGCGAGGGCCCGCTGGGAGACAGAGGGCGACGGCAAGGGGACCACACCAACGGAGCGCCTTCGTGGATGGTTGGACTCGGAGTCCTCGAAGCCACCTTCAGCAAAGCAGATCCAACAGTATCCGACACTTCGAGACGAATTGACCGCCCTCTAAGCCTCGAACGAATTGATGCCGGTAGCGGCCAGGCTCGCTTGGCACTGGATAGCGAGACCCACTCTTCAGAGAGGACGGCAGGACCCCCGCGTAAGGCACAGATTCTGCAATCGCGCCTGGGTGACTGGGCGAACGCAGGTGAACCTCTGATGTCGCTCGAAGTTCTGACAACCGAATGCCTTCTATTCTTCGGGCCAGAGGCCAACGTGGGAGTGGGCCCAGCGCCCTGGGCGACCCAAGAGAGGCGCTCCTGGAATCCCATAGAGACAAATGTGACGCAGGCCCAAGGGAGCACAGGGTCCAGACGGGGCCCGCGTATATGAATATATCAGAGAGAGGCTCTGCTGTTTTGGCAAACGACTGGGAAAACGAAGCCGCGAGAAGCTCCGAGAAAATACAGAGACCTAGGCAAATATTCAAGGCCGAGGGAAACCAAGCTCATGAAATCGCCCTGCTTGACCGTGCCTCGCGTTAGTATTCTCTCTTCCTGTGCATCGCTGAGGGCAAGCTGGACAAAAGAGTTGCTGGCATAGAACGCCGGAAACCACAGAAGCAATCCGCACCACTAAGAAATCGCCACAGAAGACCACGACAGGAAACCCCAGAAGCACACCGCATCTGTAAACCACAAGAGGAGACCACAGGAGGAAACCACGGCAGGGGACAACAGCAAGAGAGACTACAGGAGAAGACCAAAGCAAGAAACCACAAAATGAGACCCCGGAAGAAGACCGCACGTAAATACCACAGTGGGAGACGACCGCAACAGGAGACCACAGCAGGAGACGACCGCGGCAGGAGACCGTGGCAGGGGACAATTGGAGGAGACCGCAGCAGGAGACCACAGGAGTAGACCGCACCAGGATATGTCCTACAGCAGTTGACCACAGGAGGATAGCATCACGACAGGAAACCATACAATGAGACCGCAGGACGAGACGGCAGCAGGAGACTGCAGAAGAGCACAGCGAGATAGCACAGCATGAGACCCCGACCCCGACAGGAAACCACAGGAGACAGTAAGAGATCAAACGAAGAGACCACAGGAGGAGCCCACAGCAAGAGAACACAGGAGTCGGGAGGAAGCCACAGCAATGTATCGTAGCAGGAAGCCGCTATTGAAAACTGCAAGAGGAAGCCCGAGAAGAAAACCGCTGGATATCACATGAGGAGACCGAAGCAAGAGACCGCAGGAAGATACCGCAGCAGGAAACCAATGCAGGATACTGCGGCAGTAAACCACAAGAGGAGGCCGCAGGAGAGCCAGCAAAAAAGAGAGACCACAAGAGGAAAACACAATTGGACATCACAACAAGACACCGCAAAATAAACCGCCGGATGAGACCTGAGAAAACCACGTGAGATCACAAGCGGAAACAGTAGCAACAGACCACAGGATAATACCGCAGAAAGACAGCAGGTGGATGTCGCAGCAATGAACCACAGGTAGAGACAAACGCAGGAGACCACAGCAGGAGACCGCTGGGCATCATGAACATACCACAGCAGCAGGAGACGAGAGGATGTGACCTCAGGAGGAAACCAAAGGTGAGGACAACAGCAGGAGACCACTAGAGGAGACCACAGGAGGAGACCACGGGTGAGGACCACAGTGGGCACCCACGGGAGGAGACCGCAGGAGGGGGTCATTGGAGGAGACCACTGGCGAAGACCACGGGTACGAACGACAGCAAGGGACGCTGGAGGAGACCACGGGAGGAGACCGCGGATGAGGACTGCAGGAAAGGACCATGGGAGGAGACCAAGCACGGGAAACACAGGAGAGGGTCACAGGATGCCGAGTATTACAATAGTTCTGGGTCCCCGTCCCCCTCCGCCGACTACAAGTCACACCGCTGACTGTCAAGTTCCGTTGGTCTCCGCCCTGGCTCCGCGGTTGGGAGAATTAACGGACCAGCTTGGTCCCAAGAGTGCCCCAAGAGACCATCGATAGGCCTCTTCCTCGTCCTCCTCCTCCTCCTCCTCCTCCTGTCCCCTCCTCCTTATCCTCCTCCTCATCCACCGGCCCATTCCTTCCGGTGGGGCGCTCCGCGGGTCTCGCAGCTGAAGGCTCGCCCCTGGCCTCCTTGCCGCCTCCTCCGGGCCATCTGGAAGGTATCGTGTAACATCGGCTCCTGGGGGCGCCCCCTTGGCTGCGTGCCCGAGTGAGGGTTTGCCCCTGCAAGGGCGGTGTGGCCCCGTCCGGGACTTGGGGCCACCTACGAGGTTGGCGGCCAATCGAACTCTGCCTTCAGAGTTCGCGCGAGGCCCTGTTCATTCTCGCTCGACACGGGCACACCGACAAATAGCAACAGTGATGCACATTGGGCTAACGGAATGAGCGAAGCGATCGAATTCTCGGGGGCTACTCCGTGGGCGAGGGCCGGTTCTGCGCACGCACGCGCCGCTGCTCCCACCTTGACTGATTCTGTCGTTGTTTCCGCCCTGTCGCCCTGGGCGAATTACTTTGGCGGCGCCAAGAAAGGGGCGGCGCGAGGGACGATGAGAGGGGCGGCCTTTCTGAGAAGGCCAGGGGGGGTTCTGGGAAGGCAGGGGGTGTCTTAGAAGAGCGCCCGACTTCTAAGAAGCCCTCCTAGAAGCCGCCGGGCCTTTCAAAGAAGAAGGTACCTGCCTTCTAAGAGGCCCCCCGACTTTCTTAGAAAGATCGGAGATGGGGGGGAGTTCGAAATGAAACGGGGACCCCACACTGGGACATTGGTTTCGGTTTCGGTTTCGTGTACGTGTCGTACGTGCGGGCGAAGCGAAGCTGCGTGGGCGGGCGAGAGGGATGAACCCGCCGTTGCCAAGGCGAAACTGAATCCAATGATTAAATACCCCCGTTTGGCCGGCGGTGGCCGGAGGGTGTCCCGCCGGTGTCCAATGGTGTCCCGCGGTGTCCCGAGGTGTCTGCTGGCTCGGTGTCCCGTGGTGTCCAGTGGTGTCCCGTGAAGTCAAGTGCGAGATCAATAATGAGATCGATAGTGGCATCGATAGACCAGTCGGATTACAATCGATAGTGAGATCGATCATGAGGCCGACTGTGAAACCGAAAGATAATGGGAGATCGGTAGTGAGATCGATATGTAGATTAGGAATTAGTTCGGTCGTGGGATCAGTAGAGCGGGGTATCGACAGATTGAAGCAGAGCGATGGAAAGATGTATCGTGGGATCGTGAGTTCGATTGGTCGTGAGATCGATAGTGAGATCGATTGTGAGGCCGACTGTGAGATCGATAGATAGTGAGGTCGATAGATGGAGAGAGAGATCGGTAGATATATCGTGAGATCGATAGGTATATTGAGAGTGAGATTGAGGGCGAGGGAGATGAGGGAGATCGATCGTGAGAACGATCGCGGAATCGATAGTGATATCGATAGATAACGAGATCGATAATGAGATCGATACTGGTGTCCCGTCGTGTCCCGTGGTGTCTCGCGTCCCGTGGTCTTGTATGTCCTCAGCTTGTCCTTCTGAAAGAAGGAGCACATAGGCAAATACATACCGCCTGGCTCCGCTGTGTGCCCCGATGTGTTTCATTTACAACCCAGTATACAGATAGATGGGTAAGCATATTGCTCTGCAAGCTCGCACTACGTCCCAACGCAAAGAAGGGAGCGGGCAAATACATGTCACCTAGTTCCGTTGGCTGCAGCGATGAATCCTGTTGGATACCCTTGTAGATAAATATATGGACACACATATTGCCATGTATGTTCGCAATGAACTCTAAAAGAAAGAGGGCGCGGGCAAATAAATGCATCCCGTTTCCGCCGGCTGACCCGGTGATTCCCGATGGATATCAAGGACGCCATCGGGACGCCGTCGGTGGTGCTCCGTGGTGCCTAACTGGTGTCCACCGAATCTTTCCGACCCCAATCGCACACTCCAAGCTCAACTCCCCCACACATAACCTCCTTTCACTCGATAGGTGGTAGTACAAGTGCCGTTTTCTTCTTACATCTCTCAGGTAACGGTCATTACCCGAGATGGGGGTGGGGGTGGTGGGGGATCCGGGTAAGGGTAACGCTTGGGCGGGGTGGGGCGCGTTGGGAGGGCGTGCGCTGCGATCGCCACAGTATGCGCGCGAGCACCAGCATGTGGGGGAAAGGTCCATCCCCCCCTGCGTACGATCGCTACCGTTACCCTCGGGGGGGGGGGCTGGGGTAACGACCGTTACGCGCCAGAGGATACGAATCAAACATTCAAACCCACCCCCCTCGCGCCACCCCCTTTATGGGCGCCGCCAACTACCTCAGAATCCAAACTGCGGGCGAGTGGCGGCTGCACGCGCGCCGCCGCGCGCCGAAGCTTTACCCTGTAAGCAAAGCGGAATTGATGTCAACTTCTGGGTGGATTACTGGGAATGCAAATTATGGGAAACAACATCTGGGACCAAGAGTCTGCCACCGTGCCTGCACTGAGCGGGTATGTTTGAATGCTCGTCTGGTCTGGGAGGTTCTGCAAAAGTTTTACAGCCCCGCCCCCTTCTACGCACGCGCCCCTCGAAAGCTGCCCCTTCTGAAATTGCTTTCTAACGGTCTCTTCGGCCTCCAGACGGCCAAGATGGCCTTGAAGACGGCTTCCAAGGCAACCAAGACGACAACGAAACAGCTCCCTTGAGCTCTCAAAAGAGCCTCCAGACGGCTCGAAATAGCCAAGATGGCCTCAAAACGGCCCAAGAGGGCCCGAACACGGCTCGAGAGAGCTCCAAGAGGCCCTCCTGGAGAGCCCGAGGGGGGCCAAAACACGTGGTGATGTTCTCGGCTGTTCGGGTTCCCGACCACCCAGGACGGCCCAAGAGGCTTCCAAGAGGCCTCCAAGATAGCTCCTATGACAACCCAAGAGGCCCCCAAGATGATCCCTTGTCGGCCTAAGAGGACACACATATCGCCCAAGGGGCTCCCAAGAGGGCCCCAAGACGGCCTTGAAACGCTCCAAGAGTTGTGCCGCCTTTGGCGGTCGGAAACCCAAACATGCAAGAACCTCAGAATCCTTCAAAACCCTTGGGCAGATCAATGGTTCTGGCCACCTCGGGCTCTACTGAAGGCCTCTTTGGAGACCTCTGAGGCCGTCTTGTGGGCCTCTTGATCTGTCACGAAGCCCTCTTGGGGGGCGCATGGCCTCCAGGACGGTTTTCAAGACAGCCGAGACAACGCCAAGATGGCCCAAGACTGCTCAACAGGCGCACAAGCCAGCCTCAAGACAGGCCAAGAGGCCCCAAAGACGGCCCATGAGGTCTCCAAGAGGCCCTCCTGCAGAGCCCGAGGAAACCAAAACCATTGATTGTCCGTAGGCTTTTGGCAAACCTGATGTTCTCACCTGCACGGGCTTCCGACCGCCCAAGACGGCCCAAGAGGCCTCCAACATAGCCCCAAGAGGGCTAAACGTCGGCCTAAAAAACCCAAAGATCATCCGCGGGGCTTCCACGAGGGCCCCAAGGCGACAGTGAACAGCTCCAAGAGGGCACCCACGCGCCCTAGGGAGCCCCCCAAGGCGGCCCCCATAGGCGTCAGACGGGCCAAGAATCCTTTAAGACGGTCCAAGACACCCCAAGAGGCCTCAAGAGGCCCAGGCGGCCCCATGAGGCCCCCAAGAGGCCCCCAGGTAGCTGTCAGGAAGCTTCCACCAGGAGGCACCCAGGAAGCCACAAGGCGGCCCCAAGAAGTCCCCAAGAAGCCTTCTCTCCTCTTCCTCACTTTCTCCCTATCCTCCTCCCTCCTCCTCCTCCTCCTCCTCCTCCTCCTCCTCCTGCATGTTGTTTTTCTCTTCTTCTTCTTCGTTTTCTTCCTCCTCCTCCTCCTCCTCCTTCTCCTCCTCCTCCCTACCGCGCGGACGAAGACGAGGTCGGAATCACGACCCTCCCCAATGCAAGCTACTCGTCGGAATTGCGATGTTCATACACTCGGCCTCCTTCCTGCTGCGCTGTTGCACAGGCAGGGTGGCGGGATCTGCCGCAGACAGCTGGACGCCGGAACCGCGTCTCGACATCACGCGACTCATAGCAGGCAGCAGCAACTGAAACGCCGGCCTGGGGTCACACTACAGAGGGGGAGTACTCATCCTTCTTTCGCCGCCAGGAACGCTGTTACCGCCCACCTCTTAGAGAGAACGGGAAGGGGTCCTCCATTCATAATCGGGGGATTCCATTAACTGACAAGGAAAGTCACCAGCAAGGCAGAACTGGCACCGCCACTTGGGCGAATTAGCTCCCAGGTGGCATCGTGTACGGAAGCAGGCGCTGGAATCCACAGAAAAATAGGTTGACCAACTCCACAATCAAATCGTTGGGAGCCCGTGTTGAAAACCACTTCGAAAAATATCAACTCGAGGGTCCATATTTTGACAAGTTGGAGGAAGAGGAGGAGGGAGGAAGAGGAGAAGGAGGAGGAGGACGAAGAGGAGGAGACGGAGGACGACGACGAGGGGGAGCAGGAGGGGAAAGAGAAACCCCAACATCCAGCGGCCCGATTGTTTCATAGCTGGGCACCCAGACCTCTCGGACCCATCCACAGCGCCGGTTTTGATTACCACAAACTGTTTCTGACTGGTCCCGGCCCGAAGCTGGTCCCCAGATGCTCAACACGGCGAAAACGGGCCGCCCCGATTGTGTACGAGCCGCCGCATGCCTCCCCGCGCATCACTCGTCGACCGCAGCCCACTGGCAGCCGCCCCGATGGCCGCCGAAGGCCGCCGAGGGCCGCTGGCTGCAGTTCCCTAGGGCCTAGGGCCGCTCGCTCGCTGGCCGCCGAGGGCCGCCAAGGTTCGGAGACAACTGCTGGGAGGTCTTCGCGAAAACGAAAGAGCCAAGATCTACTAAGCCTAAGGCCGAAGGCCCATTTCAAGGGCCCGCGATTAGGCCAGACTGAACTGGGATGTGGCCGGACAGAGCCAAACAAAGCGGGACTCTGCCGCATTAGGCCTGGCCTGAACCACGCATGTACCCGCGCCGCAACCGAATCAAACCTCCCAAGAAGCGCATGTCAACTCCTGGCCCCCCCTCAGCCTCTGCAGGCCCCCACGCGGCGTGCCGCGGTCGCCGCCACCGCCGGGGACGCCGACGCCTCCGGGCTCGTGGGGGATTCGCTGGCCGCTGCCGCTGTGTCGTCGTCGTCGTCATCGTCCGCGCCGGCGCCGCTGGTGTCGCCACCGTTGTCGCCGTCGTGCTCGGCCTCAGCCTCGTCATCGTCGCCGTCGTCGTTGTCATCGCGGGCAAGGCACTCGAAGACGCCAGGTGTCTAGAACCTACCCCCTCGTTCCTCGTCTCCTCTTCCTCCTCCTGCACGATTGCACAATAGAAATACTACTCTCCTCTCCCCTGATGACGTCCGGAAGATGTCTGGCCCCCTCTCCGCGTACTGTTTTTTTGCACACATGATTCGAGGGAAATGGGTCTTCGCTTGGGCTCGTTTTCAAAAAATGGTTCCCGCTGAAGCGCTGGCCCCATCTCTGCGCCTCTGGTTGTTCCATATCGTGTTCCCGCTGCAGCGCCGGCGTTTTCGGTCCTTCCAGATAGGCCCCAAAATCTAGAAGATGCACCCCGAAAAAAACCATCGGATGTGAATGCACAGTCGGTTTCGATTCGTTGATTTCTTGGGCCGCGAAAGCCCCTCGGCGTCATCGCTTTCAAGAAATATCAAGCGAGAGCCCCATTTCTGCTTTGAGAAGGCGATGTTGGAAGCAGAGCCAGCATGTACTCTCCATCAACCCCGCCTTGTGTGAAACTTTCCGGGGGGCCCAATGAGCTAAACATGGATCAACGGTTCGAGACCAGCCCAGACCTCTCGAAGACGATCGACTTACCCTCCAAGGTACCTGGCGCAATGCCAGGTGTAAATAATGATCCAAATCTCTCCACCCACAACCTCTTGATGCAAGAAGAAGACAGGCAGGTGATAGGATATCTTATACCGAATGAAACTCTGCGTTCGATAGGTGCGTCCACCCTCCCGCCTCAGTTGGGCGGGTTCACGAGCCACAAATGGCAATAGTAAACAAGAGAGCGCAAGCATGATCGAGCGAAAGCAAGAACATATATAATTCTAAACATCATCATATAACTCACATCCTTGCTAAAATAACTTTCACACAGGAAAAGGAAACGTTGCTAAATAATGCCTTGGCAAATTCTGCAGCAATCCTCCAGAATATTGAATAATAGTATTGGCTCGAACGATCAAACTATCGTCCGTGCAACAAGCAACAGATGACAAATAAAAGAAATCCAATACTCTCTGCTCGAACGGTCAAACTACCGTCCGTGTATCAAACAAAAGATACCAAGATAAAAGAAATCAGTACACCGAGCAACAGATACTAAGATGCCAGAAACCCACGCACTGAGCAACATATAATCAAATCTTTACCTGGCCTGCGCACCGAGCAACATATATTAAGCTATGAAATCTTTACCTGAGCTCTTGAGGGGGGGGGCCTTCACTCCTCATCTGCAGATGGTGACCAAACATCACTCATCATCTGAAATGGTAACCCAAATCGCTCATCATCTGAGAATGATAACTCAAATCACTGATCATCCTCAGCGCACACGTACTGCTGACTTGATGATGCTGTATGCAATGTAAACCTTGATGATCGGGTCGAGACTATAACTCCTGCTTTCGTCTGCGTCCAGCTTGAGACACCGTCCTAGGCAATTTGCGTAGTGCCTGTCCTTCGTATAGATCGTCTCATAGCTGTCGCCCTCGTACCTGAAACTCCTGATTATCGTCGGTCCCATGGTCTCCAGCCACTGTCTCAGTAGAGCACTATCTCCCAGCATGATTGGTCCATCTCCCATGATATCGTCGTCATAGGTCGCTGGATCGGCTCGTACTGCGAGTGTTGTCGTTGTAGTTTTCGGCGAAACCTTCGCCGTCCTGGATTTGACCTTGACCTGCTTCTCGGGCAACTCCGGCTTGAACAGGTTGTCGCTGCTTGAACGATCCACCTCCATCGGGTCAAACATGTCCTCGTCGTCGTCCTGCTTAGGCTTCATTACGTAAATAAATATGATGATACCCGCGATGATAGAGACTACGGTCACCACCGCAGGAGACATCGAACGACAAACTCCATGCACTGCAAGTGCACAAAGTTGAAGCATAACTACAGCTTGGTCAGGTATCTGGATGGTTCTCTGTGCGCCACTCCTCTCCATCAGGTAGTCGTCCGTTAGCTCTTCCGCGTAGAATGCCTCGACGTAGTCCTCGTCTTGAACCTCGTCCTTATTGTCGTAGAAGCACTCGTCCACGTAGTTGTACGTCTCCACCGGCCACGTAGAGATCTCTTCGTCGCCCTTCCCAGTGTAGTCGCACAGCTCCTTCTTGACGTACTTGGCAATCTTCGCGTTCAGCTCGTCTACCTCCTTGTTGGCTGCTACCTTCTCTGGTCCAACAAGCTTTCGTCCACGTATAGATGGTGCCCTGTCATCATGCCCAAGAGTCCACAGGTTCGATGCAACTATCTTCCTCGCGTAGCCTCCTGGAAGTACTTTCGTCAAACAGTCCGCTAGCATCTGCTCGCTCTTGACCCACTTGATGCCGACCTCTTTGAGTGACTGCCGCAATATAGCCGCTTCCAAAGAAAGCCTCCTGTCCGTCATAGAAAACTTTTCCTTTGCGATCGCGTCGCATAGGCTCTTGCAGTCGGTCACCGAAATGCATTTCACCGGGCAGGTGTCGTGCACAATCTCGGCCATGTCCATCTCCGGGTACAGGATCTCCGCCAGGGTCGATCTTGTCCATATTAACATGTCCACATAATCCGCACATGAGTAGGCCTCCGCCGATAGAGTAGATCGCACCACTCGTTGAATCTTGGAAGACAGCCACCCAACGCAGTGTACCTTGTACTTGTTACTGTGGTCCTCGTTGATCTCCTGGTCGCCCAGCATGATGAAGTGTCCGCGTTGTGATCTGTGCTTCGGCAGATTGTCGAAAGCACTGTCGGTGACATTGATCACCATGGTCTCCCACAGGTTCAGGCCTGCTGAGAACCTGATCAGCAAGTCGTTCCGCTTCTGTATCCGCCTGATGGCCGCTCGCCTGCCCTTTCCTCGCGTGCTTGACCTCGCCAAAGTCGATCTCCTTCTGCAGGTCCTTCATGATCTTGGCGCCCTCCGGGTCGTCCTGCTTGATGCCCATGAGGAAGTCATCCACGCGCAGGCACATGATCCCAATGATCGTGCCCTCCGCATTGCGCTTGATGAAGGTCGCGGGCTCGAAGCTCAGGCCTTCCCATCCAAGCTTCACGAGCGTCTCGCGTAGTGCCACCTACCACGCGCGAGCTGCATCGTTGGTCCCGTAGATGCTCTTGTTTAACTTCAGCAGGTCGCCTGCCTTCACTCCTGGGATGTTGCACTTCCCGAGGTTCGTCGGGATGCGAAGGTAGAGCTCGCGTGCGATGGCTTCGCCTTGCAGAAAGGCTCCCTTCACATCCGCGATGACTAGGTCTAAGTTGAGGCTTGATACGACGCTGCACAAGAGTAACGTCATCTGCGCTGAGACTGTAGGTGAGTCCCTTCGTAGCTCGTCGCCAAACTCCTCCTCGTAGCCCCTCCCACATATCCTGGCCTTCGGCTCGAAGGTCGTGGGGCCCTTATCGGTCCAGACCACCTTGGAGCTTAGGATCTTGTCCGGGTCGACCTTGTCGACTGCTGCCCCTGATATGTGGGTTGCTGCATCGCACTTGCACCACGTGCCCCATTCCTTCTCCACCGCCTGCTGCATCTTCTTCCACTTGAGCTTGTCATCGCCCAGCGTCTTCAAGTTGATCTCCCGATGCTCGTTGGCTCTCGTCGGTTGGCTGCACATCCGCTCGGCCGCGAACGCCTCGACGACCAGCGGTGTATCTGCCAGCTGCTTGACTGGCCCAGTTTGTGCTCGGGCTCGTTTGATGCTGATCGGCACCTCGTCCAGCAAGAACTCCTTGATCGTGACTGGGTGTTCCTGGCGCTTGCCCTGTGCAGGCTGTCGCGTACTTGACGATGATGTAGCCGGCTGATCTTGCGGTACCTCTGCTGGTGCTGCTGCCGTTTCCTCCGCCTTCTGGCGTTCCTCCGTGCGCCTCTGGATCCTGGCAGGTACTCGAAGCTGAGCTCGACCGTCCTGAGCGTCGTCCCGCTTGGTCTGCTTGAGCTTCAGGCCCTTCTTGGCGTGCTTCTTGCCTCCGCGCTTCACCTCCTTAGGTTCCTCCATGGTCTCGTCCGCGTTGGTGGACTCCTGCGGGGCTGCTGCAGGCTGTTGGCCACCTCCTGGTCCATCTCCAGCTTCCTCTTCCTTTCCCAGAGTGATCTCCTCGATGGGCGTGATGGGGTCTTGTGATACCACACCGTCGATGATCTGAGGATTGGCTATCCAGTCCACTCTCGAGATATCTTGAACCAGGTCGCGCGTGTCCAAGTTGAAAAGCCGCCGCCTCTCGATCTTGTACCCAGGCGTTGGATCAGGTAGAAGAGGGGCGTTCCTGACGTTATCCAGCTGCCTCAGGTCGGTCTTGCCCTGGCTGCTGGCCGCCACTGCTCCCGAGATGGTGTCCCAAGCTTGGTGCGCTCGAACAAGTCGTGCTCGTAGATCTTCCTCCGCTTGATCTTGATCAGCCGGTGCTGTCTCGTACTCGTCGTCCAGCCTCTGACGCATTGGCATCACGTCGTTATCGCGTACCACTTCCGATCGTCGCTTCCTGCTGTCCGCTGGCTTCGTCAGCTCCACGTTGCCTTGAGCAGGTGCTGCTGGTGCCGTCGTCGGTGCACTCGAGGGCGAATCACCTTGTCCTCCTGCTGGCTGTGGTGGAACATCGCCCTGTCCAGGATGCTGCTGATGTCCTGGATCTCGGTGATCTTGATGTTGATCTGGCTGCTGATATGGCCGTTGATCGGGCTGCTGGTCTGGTTGTTGATCATCTCGTGCTGGGTTATACTGTTGACCTCGAAGATCCAGAAAACCACGCTGACCAACTCTTCCACGTGCAGGTCCGCCATCTGAAAACAGGTCGGTAAACTGCATGGTGCTCACCTCGTGCTCAGTCGCCCTTCGAAGGAGACTGGGTGAACTCAGGATCGGGA